GAAAATATGTTTGGTAATAGATTTCCTTTTTAGTTTTCAAAATCACCTTTATTTAAGAAATTAAAAAAAAAACTTGAAATTTGTTTTCAATTTTTGTTTTCATTTTTTCCGTTTCTATTGTATTCATTAATTTTACGTCACCACAAATAAAATGTACACTAGTCAGGGATGGACTTTTAGTTTGGTAAACCTGGGAGCCCAGGTTTACCCCTCTTTTCCTGCAAAAAATTAAAATCCTAGCTTTGGCAAACCTAGGCTATAGCCCAGGTGGCTTCTTTTTTCCAGCCAAAAAAATAAAATCCTAGCTCACCCAATTTAAATAACCTAACCTCATCTAGTTCTCCTAGTCAATAAAGAAGAAGAAGCAACCCTCGCATTAGAGAGAAAAAAAAAACGCTCTTGTTGCTACTGCACTCACCTTGAAGACTTAATTCAAGTGAACCAAGCTCATATTCGTCATGTAAGCTTCTCTCAATTTCTTGATGCTTTAATTTGAGGATTTTTTTGGAGTTTATGAAGTATCAATTAGGATTTGCAATTGACACTCATGAATTATCAATTAAGATTTGCAATTTGGGCATTAGTTTCTGTTTATGAGGTATGAATTATCAAATAGGATTTGTAATTTATTTTATTGTTCTTATTGTTTTTTATTTGTTATCAATTAAATCACATGGTATTGTTGAGTACCTAAATTTAGCCCCACCCAATTTTAAAATCCTGGGTCCATCCCTAACTCTAGTTATAAAAAATTGGTATTTGGGACCTCTCGACTTCGACTCGGCAGCTTGATTCTTGCATTTGGCCACGGACCCAGTCCAAGCCTCGAGAATTACATATCTAAAATTAACAAAAAGAAAAAATCATCATAATTCCAAAAAATTCACCGGAAAATATTATGAACTCTTTGTAACATGCACTTTCATTCTATGATCTCAAATTCACAATTTTACCCCCTTAAAATTTCCATTTCTAAGTTTCATATAAAACTGAAAACTGAAAACAATTACCAAATAACTTTTGCTCAGTTTTCACTTTTTCGAAAACTGAAAATTAGTTATCAAACAAGTTTTCAGTTTTTGAAAATTAAAATTTAAAATTTAAAACTAAAATGGTTGTCAAACGGTCCCTTAGTTTTTACTTTTGGGCTGTTTTGGCAAAGCTATGCTTTTTCTTCAGTGTGGTGACTATTTATATGTAGACACGCATTATAATATGAATGAATTGGTAATGACAAGTTGGTTTTGGTTAATTTAAGAGAACTCTTTTGTAGGATCGTGACATTGTTATGTGGTGTTACAATTCATTCATGATATAACATATGTATTTTTTTCATTAATAATATACTATTGATTGGAAAAGTATCAATCATGTCGCCTAGTAACATCGCAAATTGGTATGACGATAGTACCCAAGTATTTTCCATAATTCAGACCCAAAGTGTAATATTATATCTCAGTTTCAATTTGTCACCTTAAAGAAAAATTTAAGAGAAATGCCACTTTAATTTTTTCAAAATCCATGATTTGTCATCTGACTTTAATACCATCTAATTTTCCATCCCTTTTAAAGGGTATTTTAGTCTTTCCATTTTCAAGAGTATTTTAAAAATAGAAAAATCATTATAAAAAATGTATTTAAAAAAATCTCACCTTCCCTCATCCCATGTGCACCACCTGTGGCTCCAACCAACCTCGCCCACCTTGAAATCCATTCACCCTTCCTTCTTCACAGCCCCTTCCTCCTTCTCTCTCTACTATGGAACACCTACCCTCCCACACACAAATTGCCTCAGCCCACCCAAACAGAGTCCACATTTTTCCTCTTCTTTTTTCATTTTGGTATTTTTCCATTTGCATATTGAAAATTTGTGGAGAGAGAGAGAGAGAGGGGGAGGGGGGGTCCTGTGCAATGTGTTTTGGGGGCGGGTGGGGTTGGGGTGGGGGAGAAAGGGAGAGATATGTCTCTTTTTTCGCTCCTTTTTTTTCCTTGAAAATGGAAAGACTAAAATACTCTTAAAATGTATGGAAAATTGGACAGTGTTAAAGTCATATGACAAATCATGGATTTTGAAAAATTAAAATGATATTTCTCTTAAATTTTTCTTTAAGATGACAAATTAAAATTAAGATATAAGTTTAGGGAATATTTCTTTAAAAATCCCTTATATAATATACTATTTATTAGAAAGGTATCCATCATGTCGCCCAAGTATTTTCTTTAATTCAGACCCAAATTGTAATATTATACTAGAACAAACTAGAATTTGCATCATTTCCCACATTGCAACTGGTAGCGGTGGAAATCCAAGAGCACTGTCACGCACGCACTCATGGAGACAACCAAACGTGGACTCACCACTTATCCTTTCTGGAAGAGAACTTTAATTTTGTGGGGGCAATAATATTATCTTCCAAATCCACAACCGCATAAAAATTGGGGCAAACTCTGCAACACCATTTTCTTTTTTAATCAAGAACTTTGTGTGCGAAAAAGAACGACAGGCTTTTTGCATATGCATGCAGCAGCTGCCTCTCAGAGATGCACGTTCCATATGATCAAAAAGTAAAAAATATGCATGCTAAAATGTCCAAACAAAATTTTTATAGTTACCCAAATCGTGATTTAAGCTAAAAACTCAGCTCCTTTGCTGGCTCATGCAAATTTATGCATCACATTGATCTTTAAGATTGCCGATACAAATTATTGCCCGAGTTCATATATTTACAGTCTAACAACATAAACATCGGTTCTTATCAGCCTTATACATCTTCCTCCTCCAATTAGTGAGTCTACTTTATGCCTTTGGTAATGGCAATATATAAATAATTTATTTTAGCCACATGCGTATGGTGGAGGATCAAGTTTATACATAGAGAATCTTATAAAGTAAACTAAAATGGTGTTGACTTTGAATAACTTTAATTTATACAAAGAAGTTTTTTCAAGTTGAGATAATATTTAGTCACCCTTTTCCAACGGAAAGTCAAATCTCCTGCTTCAATAAATAATCACCTCCAGGAATTTTTAAGAGGCCAATGGCCAATGGCCAATGTTAATGATGGAAAACTCATTGCTTCAGAAAATGGAGAAGGTCCGTCACATATATGATATATCACAGGAAACCGTGTTCCCAGTTAAATTTAAAGTCAAGATCAAATGGCAGTAAGCATGTCATTTTCGCTTTCCCATTCAATCATGGAAATGGTCTGGTCTTCTCAGCCAACTAGCTAGCAAGTGCATATAAGAAAAAAAAAGGGGTGATGCGTTTGGTTTTGGGGTTTTAGTGCTTGCCAGTTTCTCATTTGGAAGAGACAATTAACTGGCATATCAAATCAAGGACATATGCTTCCAAACACTATATTTTAATTTAATCCAAATTATGAGGAGAGAGATTTGAACTCGGATGCAGAATGGGAACCATTCACTCTAGCCAACTTGAGTAACATGCGATTAACTTAAACCAACAGCAATTATCTGATGTTAAAGCACTCCAAACTCCAAATCATAATATAAATTCAAGACTCTATTATTACGAGGAGGAATAAGTGAAAGTGGAAGCAAATGACCTTTTCTTTTCCCTCTAAAACTTCCAAAGTCTTTGTGTGTATATGAAAGCTACCCTTCACCTAAAATCTCTCCGCTTTGCTTGCTTCCATGAGTCTTTTTTTCCCATGTCCTTTCTTTCCCCTCCACTTGGGTTGAGCATTATTTTCAACTAGCTAATTTATCAAGTATTTTGTAAGTACAAATTGGCATGTCTGAGCTGGCAGTTACTCATCTTTATATATATACATGTTTACATCATTCATCCAGAGGCTCACTTCCCAATGACTGCCACCTGCTCTGTTTATCTTTTTCCAGGAAAAATGCATCTTTGAAGACACTAATGTAATTGCTCAATCATGACATACCTTTTTAGCCTTTTTATAGCTAATCTTTTCATTCCCTTAATTCCTAACTTCCTGGAGGCCCAAACACTCAAGAGGGTAATTATTTTTTTACCTTGGGAAAAAAAGTTTCCTTTTCACCACAACTTTGTGCAGGTCAAGAGGACTGATGGGAAAAGATGGAAAAAAGTTCCTT